GGGGGGGGATTCGACACACTTCTTGAATAATAATTCAGAAAAGAAAAGACAAAGAGTACAAAAGATGCTTTCATACCAATATACCTCTTTTCTGTCATCAATAAATTGACAAATACATTGGCACTGATGCACAGACAAATTTTAGCTGAAGGATGGGCTGGCGGTTAGGGTGTTTCATTCTCAACTTTTGAGCGCTTGGCGCAGTGGGTTCCCCATCTCGGAAGTGGGCAAGCGGCGAATTTTTAAAAAGTTGGCCTCATGTTCTTTCAAACTAAACACCGATACATCAAATCCCACGTGATGCACAAAGCGCTCAAAAGGTGACGATGAAATTACCCTACTGGCGGTAGATAAAAGTGAGGCTCGGCTGGAGCGGGGAAGGGGCGGCAACAACGACCTCCTCCCACTCTGTGATATGTGATCCAACGCCCCGCACACAGGTGGACTGGCGACAGAGTTGCAAGTTGCAGCGTGGCATCATCCCCTCCGAATGACTGAATACATCCAGAAGCCGGTGTGTCCGAAAGGGGCGGGAGCAGGGGGGGCACCGAATCACCATGTGAGTACCCTGTGAGTAGGCACAACACACGACGACTTCTGGCCGATGCGGACGCGAAACTTTTCCACGAGCCACGAGATATCGGAAATTCCGTCAGATTGTGGTTTCAAGTTACAAAATCGCAAAATTCTGATGACACTTGGTGTCGAATTGGAATTCGTCGACGGGTAATAAAAACAATCTGTCTTAAATTAACGGTACGGTGGTACCCATCATCACATCGTGCGTTTTCAATGTAAAACTAACAAAATGACAACGGACCGAGGCAGCTTCAACGCCCTATCGGGGGCTCGGGCTCGGGCTGGGGCAACCGGCGGCGGCGCGGCAGCAAGGCTAGAGGATGAGGGGATGGAGGACCTCGGAGGAGAGCGGGAAGGAGCCCCTATACTCCGGCCCGGGGACCTAGGGGACCCCACCGTCCGGCCGGCACGCCTCCCCCCGGGCCCAATCTCGCTCGGTATTGATTGCGTACTCAGCTCCCCCCCC